GTATTCGGCACATTTCTTCAATTTATCATCACACCATTTCGCCTTGAGGGCGGCATCCTGGAATTCTTCGATGAATCCGGAGATCCTCTGGGCAGGTATCGGCTCCGAGCACCTTCCGCTGACTTTTTTTTTCAGGTTCACCGATCAGGACGTTGGCAAGAGTATCGCCTTTATCTCAGAGGAATTCCGGGTATCCTAATATGTATCCTATCTTACCTTATGTAATGTTGGCGGTCTTTATGTGTGTGAGTGGGACCGGCTATCACTTTCGAGGCTCGATTTGAGGGCCGTCCCCTGTACCAAATGCCCTCCTTCTCCGTCAATAGGGGGAATAGGCCATCCACTTTTCTATGGCTTATTCAGAATTTCGAGAAAATACAAGTTTACAAAGCCGGTTCTACTTAGCCAAGGGATCGCGGAGGGCTAATTTGCATTATATGAAAAATAATCCTGATTCTTGTCAGTTGTACGTTGAAAGAACCTGTATGCCAATTTTCTAGGTCCGGTTTTGTCCACTAGTCAATTCGACGGGCAGACGTGGATTCTTAGCAAGGAACTCAAACAGTATAGGTGATCATCAACGATGGCCTCGTCATGCCATAACACTTTTAGCGCCTGGCAACTGTACCATGATGTATGCATTGAGTGTTGAAAAACCGGCGATGCTGGTACCCGTCCTGCTGGTGATGAGGAGATTTGAGATGTGCGTGCATGTATGTCGTAGTGATCGTCGTGTTTCAGATCAATGTTGTTCTGCGCCTCGACTCCGGATAGCAGCTCGGCGCAAACGATTGAAACTATTTTCTGCGACTCCCAGCAGACCCAACTCTTCAAAATTGACGGGGCTCAACATGGAATGGCGGACTGTGTACCGCGGTCATCAAGCAACTTTCCTCCTTCTTTCTCCGAAATTGAAAAGATTTTTTGCCGGGTTGTAGTTGCATTTTCAATCAGGATTTCAGAAAATCTCACTGTCAAAATTTGGTAAGACTCCAGATACCCACCCCCCCAGCCGGCACCCAACGTTTGTATCTCGCCTCCCGGTTTATCTACAGGTGTGTAAAGTATACCAAAATACTCGCCATAGCAAGACGAACATTTTGGTATACTCTACACACCTGTAGCTGAACAGGGAGCCGAGATACGGTAGGTGGGGGTCGGCTGGAGGGGGGGGGGTATCTGGAGTTTCGCCCAAAATTTATATAACCAAATTGCCGGAAAACCAGCAAATCCTATGCAAAAAATCTCGCAAAAACGCTAATAGATCGCTTTAGCCACAGGACCGAAGATGGACCAATATATTGCTGCACGTTTCGAAACGACCTGTTTGCTGGCGGTGTCGTCACCTTTGAACCCCAGGGTGCCGACTGGATTCGACCTTCATTACTTTTCCGGACCATCGATGAGAACACAGGTATGGCCATAACATACAATCGTAGTTTGTGGTACGTAAAATAGGCCATGAAGTGCCAGAAATCAACCCTTAATCCCTTACAGAGCCGTTCAACGTGATCACGCTCAGCTTCACGAAAAAACAAGAACTTTACGAGTTCGAGCGATTTGCTGTGCCAAACAGTGGAACAAACGGGACCGTCGTCTACTTCTCGCATGCCGAGTTCAATGCCCCCAGGGGTTCGCCCGATCTCATCATTTCTGGGGTTTGCTAATAGAGGGTGTCCCAAAAAAATCCCCGCCCCCCACCCGGCCGCAGACTTGTCTTTTTTGCGGTTTAAGCTTTCGAAAAGGCGAGCCAAGTTCGATTTTTGCCATTCATGCAAAAAGAACAGGTCTTTTTTGTCAAAAACTCAATGTAACCGGTTTGAGATTTATTCAAACCGTGTTTTCGGCAACGGCTTTCAAAAATCTGTCCTTAGGCGGCCCGGAAAGGAAAGTAAAAATGTTTAAATTGGGATTTTCTAAAAACCCTTGGCCAAAAAAGACATCCGAAAATCCGCGCGTTTCGCAAAAGTATTCGTAATGTTAGAAAGCTTCGAAGATCTGTGAATCAGAGAGGTCTGCTGGACTCGCCTTTCAGAGAGTTGTAGATAAATACCTGACGACTTTTTTTGGAATACCCTATATTTTATATGAACCACAAACCTTGAAGCGAGATAAAGCAAAATAAGAGAAGACGCGATATTCAGGGCCGGAATCTTGCTCCGTGTTCGTATGAACTGTGGGCTGGGACGATGGGACGGTACCTATTCACTTACAAGTAGGTCTGGGACCCTGCATTCATCCTAACCCTACATAATCTCGGCGTGTCTGTAGGTATGTTTGTGCAGCTATGACTTTCGAAACCCGATTTGGGGCCTTACCGTATTCAAAATGGCCTAATTCTTCGTCACCTGAGGCATTCGATCCTCCTTTTCCCGATGGCGCTTTCAGAATTTTGTTAAAATCCAAGTTTACAAAGTCAGAGCCGGTTTTTTTCATTTTGGTGGCCCGGGAGGGTCAATTTACAGACTTTGAAAAATAGAAATTTTCTTTTTCTTCTCAGTGGTGCGCTTGTGTGTGGCAGGTGGGGCAGGGGGGCCACAGGGCCTGGGCTATCGGAAAGCCAAATTTCTCATGCAAAGGCCGCATTTCAACGCCCAAGGCCCGCGAAGCGAGTTTTGGGCGCTGGTTTAAAGTAACCACAGATCAAAGAGTAAAAATAACCCAAATGATTCAAAATGGGAAATTGATAATTCTTGCCTTCAGCGACAGCGAGCCATCTTTTCCACAGTTTATCCCCGGTCCAGTGTACACGGTGAAGGTCCCGCCGTTCTGCGCGCCCACCATCGGCATACGGCAGAGAGGTCAGCTTTTAGAATGCTTCTCCTAAGCAATCTTTCAATAAATCTATAGCCACGGGATACTACGGGCCGGGGATCCCGGGGTACGGTACTTCTGTAATTGCCTCGGTCGGATATGGGGATTCAACATTCGTCGTCGACAAAGTGGAATCGCCGATTGGATGCACTTGGCAAGGTTCGCTTTTTAACATGCCTGGAGCAACTTTCGTCTTCAGAAATTGTCACTCCTGTTGACATCCAATTAGAAATTGTTGAGTTACTGCCCGGGTCGAGGGTACTTATTGATGTCACCTCAGATGAGGAGAATACAACGTGGGTCATTTGAGACGCTTTTTTTCAGATCTGACTTTCGTTCAGGTTGGTCTTCAATTCGTCGAACAGCTACAATCAGTCCATCTGGCACTTTGAAAGGCCCAGCTACATCGATGTCGGTTTTAGAAGTATTATTGATTGGCTAAACATTTTTACTGGAATTTCAAGGACCTCTCAATGAAACATTTAGCTTACTAGGGAAGTGCAAATCAAAAACCCAGCAGACCGCTTAGCAAAGATATGGGGCTGATAGAGTCGGCGACGGGGATTCCGAAACTGCAATCAGAATTTGCTAAACGCTTAATACAAAATAGTTATGAGCATTTTAAGTTTTGCACTACATGCTCCGCCCTCCCTTATGAGCCCCTCCCAAAGATGGGTGTCCGCCTGTCGAGTGGTGTAGTGGCTAACTAGCATGCCTCTGGGGCGGAGGGTCTCTGGCTCGACTTAAAATGCTCATAACTTTTTTGTATTAAGCGTTTAGCAGATTCTGGTTGCAGATTCGGAATCCCCCGTCGTCGACTCTTATCAGCCCCATATCTTGCTAAGCGGTCTGCTGGGTTTTTGATTTGCACTTCCCTAGTAAGCTAAATGTTTCATTGAGAGGTCCTTGAAATTCGATTACCTATCACCTGTTCGAAAATCATCTGTTCGAAAATCACCTGTTCGAAAATCATCTGTTCGAAAAATCATCTATTCGAAAAACGTCTGTTCGAAAAGTCATCTGTTCGAAAAGACACCTGTTCGAAAAGTCGCCTGTTCGAAAACCATGTGTTCGAAAATGGTCATTTTTGGTACTATTTCTAGGCAATTCCACATGCAAATTTTTCGAACAGATGATTTTTCGAACAGGTGTCTTTTCGAACAGGCGATTTTCGAATACGTGATTTTCGAACAGGTGATTTTCGAACAGATGATTTTCGAACAGGTGATTTTTGAACAGGTGAATTTCGAACAGATGATCGGCCACCTTTGCGGTACTTGGGCCGCCCTCCTTTCTCAGCCTCTCCCAAAGAAGGGTTCCCGCCTGCCGAGTGGTATAGTGGCTAAGCAGCCTGCTTCAGGGGCGGAGGGTCTCTGGTTCGACTCCCCGGTCATACAGAATTTTTTGCTTTTAGGTCAAAGGGAACAACTTTAGCCTTTTTCAAAGTTCCAAATTTTTGCTGGGTTTTTATTTGCAGTTCCCTAGTTAGAAATAAAAATTTTGAGGAGCGAATCCTTTAGTTGACCGAACGTACCCTTATGACCCTTACGCAAAGCCGCGTTCCGGTCCTCGTTGTTGATTTGGCTGGCCCGGAATCGACCAGGGAAAAGCATGGGCTAGACTTCATCACCCCCTCTAAAAGGAAAAACGAACGAAAATGCACCACAGCGATAAGCTAGCTATTGCTTGAATCTGATTTTTAGCTGCAAGGCGATGATGCTCGCTCGCCCGGGGATCGGATCGGCTTCTTGATCAAGCTGACTTTTTCACGGCAAAACGGAACAGATAACGAAACCACGATGTTGGGTTTTTCTCCAACTGCCTCTCTGAGTTTGGAAAATTTTACTACGACTTCTGATGCTTCTCAACAGTGCCGGGACGATACCCTAATTATGCTCTTATTCGTTTTAGCCCTTGTTGGCTTGATTTAATTTGGTTTCGATTCTCTCTGCCCATCTCTCTCTCTTTCTCTTTTTCTCTCTCGCTCTCTCTTTCGCTCTCTCTCTCTCTCAGGTTGTCGCCGCAATAAACCGCTTGACCCCCTCGAAAACGTTGCCCAACCTTTATGCCGTTCTTTCGGGAATCATGTTGAAAATTCAATGTACAAATATAACGAAAAAAGCTCGAGTTTAGCAGTATCTTTCAAAGGGAAAACAATTTAGAACAAAACGGCAATAGGGTGTTCAGATGAAGCGTTTGGCCTTCCAGTCCTGGTAGCGGCGGAGCAGGGTTTGCAATTCGGCCATGTTCTCGATTTTTCGGGGCTCGGGTCGGGGGGCCTCGTAGAAGGACTGGAAATGGATTACGGTATGGAAAAGGCATACAACGGTATGCCCTAATTTTTATAAGAATAATATTTGTTAGAAATTTTCTTGAGATTATCTGTTATTCAGATTAGAAGAATTCTATTATTTCTCCTGAAGTCCAGTTTTTAATTGAATTAATTTGGATGAAGTGAAGTTATACTACTTGAATCTTCTTAAATTCCCATTAATTCTTGTAAAAATATCATATATTTTTTTCTATGGTAGTTTTCAATTTTGCCAGCTACTCACGTGCCCCTCCCATTAGTTTAAAAAAGGCTTTTCCCTGCAAAACTCATTATGCCTATCCACTTTTGGAGCATTGGGCATGGAAAGTGCCCTTTTTAGCTCTAGCTTAGCTACTCCCCCGAGCCAATTCAGCTGGCCAAAAATCGTCATAACGCCGTAGGTACTTGGGTTAAACAAAGTTTTGCAAAACCTCAAAATTACGCTAACTCACTAGTTTTCCAAATCTCGATACGTTTTTGATTTTAGAAATTTTACAGCATGGAAAATTGTTTATATTCGGAAATTACCGCTGGCATATGGTTGAATCGAAACCGTAATCGATCGATGGCCTCCTGTGAAGGGGAAGAATGGGCAGTGGCCGATAGAAGAGCCACGACCATCAACACAGCCAACACCCCGTCACGCCACGAAACCATCGTTGAGGATAGGGCCGCACCTGGAAGGGTTAAAATTTTTAAGGGACCATGAAGTCAAAGAAAAACGAAGCCTGGAAATCAGGAATACCAGGCAAGTTTGGCGGTGGTTGACTTTAAAGGGGGTAAGAAGCGCCAGAGGGGCGGGTTTTCGCCCTGGAAAAATACAGAAATATTAGGAATTAATAGCGCCAACAACATTATGGAAGTAAAAGAGCCAAGATTCGCCGAAAAACCAAATTTCCAAAAAAATTTTTTTTGGTCGGAACTGTTTATCAGTGGCGAATTTCAAAAAATTAGCCCAAAAATTACTTTTTATACGAATGGTGTCCTAGATTATAAACATTCAATTTTCCGAGAGTTTTTCTGGAATTCAACGTGTTTTTTTCAATTCGCGTTAAAAACACTGGGATCTACGTCTAAAATCAGCTTCTTGAAGCGGAAAAGCCAATTTTGAGGTTTTAAAAATCTGCAAAAAATTTCAAATTTGCAGATAGCCGTTTTTTTGCTTTTCCCGTTTTGCATTTTTGGCACGACGGCAAAAAGTTTCGGATTTTTCAGGGATTTTGTGAAACGCGCGGTGAATCTCTTGAACTCAAAACCAAGGCCGTAAAACCGTCAAAACTGCCCCTGAAACCTCAAATTTCAAATGCCACACTCGACGTAAAACTGGAGGAACGTGATCGGATTCGTTAATCCGGTCCAATTTTTCAAACTCCCGCCTTCGAGAAGCCCCATATATGCAATTTATTAATTTCCGTAGGCGGGAGGTACGCCTGAAAATGTAAAACTTCCCGTGAATGAGGCCAGAAATAGGCTGATTTTGCGTTAAGGGGTCGTTCTCAAAAAACCACTAGACGTGGGGGGAGTGTTGCTAGCCAAAAAAAGAATGCCGGGAGTAGCGGGATAATTTTCATTATTGCATTCAGCAAGTGCAGGATAATGTGGGGCACAAGGGAAGGGTGGAGTCCCGTAGCGAAAACAACAAAATCCCGCAAATGGCCACCGGGCTTTTGGCTCCTCACTAATGGGATTACGAAGGAGGCCGATGAGGTGGACGCCGTTGAGAATTTTGACTTGAGACGAACGAGGGGAATTTGTCGATCTACCAACTCTACGTGAGGATGGGCTATTATTCCCTTGTTGTCTTGATTACTTGAAGATTGAACGGCTTGGTAGAAGAGTGTAGGACAAGCTAGCAGTGATCTTTGATGAAACCATAACTTTCAGAGAGAAAAATAGGAATAGAGAGCAAGCGAGAGAGAGAGAGAGAGAGAGAGAGAGAGAATGATGAACAGCGTGTCTTTTAAAGGAACATAGAAGGGCCAAAATCAGTGGTTCAGACCAGTGGTTAGTTTCCCATTAAATGAAACGAAGTTTCGTTTCCATCTGCCCAACTCTGAATGTATTAGAAGCGGCCTGAAGCCCTAACTTACTAGGTCAAGCGACAAAAAGATAAAAACAAGCGCTAACAAGTAATTCCTATGTGTCAACTGGAAGCCATAGCCAAGGTTAGCTTCCCCGTGTTTTCACCTTTTATGGGCTTCAGAGTGTTCTGAGCAAGCTTCAAACTAAAGTGCAGGATAGGTCGTTCTCGAATTTTTAGATTCCGACGAAACGGTGGTGCTGCAAATCAGCTTGGCACGGAATCGGATATCTTCAAATTAGTGATTCCAAGGTGATGCTCCCGAATCGGGGTGCACTATTTTGGGCTCCAAAGGTAAAAAAAACAGCGATTTGGAAAATACCTAAAATTGCAGCAGAGAAAGAATTAGAGGGTGAGAGAGAGTTAGAGAGATAGAGGGAGGGAGAGAGGGAGGTAGAGAGAGCGGCGGAGAGAACGAGAGAGAAAGAGAGAGAGAGGGAGAGAGAGTGAAAAGTTTACAGGTATCAGAGCTACCAATCAGCAAAAGCCAAGTACAGGGTGTCCCAAAAAAAGACCCCCCTCTAGCAGTCCGCAGTGATGTCAGATTTTGACGATTTAGGTATCTATCGAAAGCTTTCGACGAGTTGAGGAGTTTTCGACCGATCTTTGAAAGTCCGGAATTTAACAACGGCCGACCTTGGGCTGCCAGAAAAGAGGTAAAAATTCGGAAAATGGGGGTTTTTGTTACAAACACTTGCATGGGAAAAAGCATCGAAAATTCAGCCAATCTCGCAAAAATGTTAACAAATGTCATAAAAATTCGGGAATTTCGAAAATTGGAAAGAAGATATCTCGTCAGCTCGTCGAGAGCTTTTGATAGATACCTAAATCGTCAAAATTGGACAACAATGCCGACCGCTAGAGGGGGTTTTTTTTGGGACACCCTGTCTTTGGGCGGAAATACCCTTGATTTTCAGACTCAATTAATTAGACAACATTTAGATGCTAAAATTCCATAAATTAAACAAAGCATAAGCCGATAAAAATTATTCTTGAACACAGTGAACGCCCAATACTCAAATATCGGGCGCCGTCTCCGGCAAAACTGAAAGCAACATTCCCCCAAGGGGGTGGGTGGGGGGCTTCTCCTTCAAGAATTGGCTTCAAAAACACTCGATTTTGGGGCGGGTTTCGGTTTCTGGTGTAACTCGAGGGTCACTTATGGGTCTCAAAACGCCAGAAAGCTCGTTTGGACTTTGTTTTGCGATTTCTGTGCTTTTCTGGAAAAGTCATTTAAAGTTCGGAGAGAGAGAGAGAGAGAGACAGAGAGAGAGAGAGAGACAGAGAGAGAGAGAGAGAGCGAGCGAGTGAGCGCGAGAGAGACAGAGAGTGCGTAAGAGGGTGAATGGGAGAGAGAGAAAGAGAAGAGAGAGAGAGAGAGACAGCGAAAGCCTTCCTTGGTTTTTAACGAATTCTGACCCCCCCAAATAGGACCCTAAAAATGTGGTCCAAATGGCCTCGCTTGCATATTTGAGCATTAATGAAACATTTTTTCGAGTTCATCCCTATGGTCTACCCACTACTCGCCCATTCATAAGCTGAAAATGAGACGTGTTGCGTAGGTCGGGGGCCCAGAATGGGGCTAATTTCGGCCCCCTGAAATCTATTAGCATACGCGACTCGCTAAGTGCCCAAATTTGCAGAAAGCTGTGGAGGGGGAGAGTGGAGGTGGGAAACTTCCGGGGGTGAATGGAGTGGGGCAGGGCTTTATGGGTGAATCAGTAGGCAATGAGTAAAAATAACTGCGTGATGAGATAAACAAAACTAACGGAAGCGCTTATCACCTTCAAAGTATGCCGAGACATTATTAAAACAGACAGAATTAAGGCTGATATTCTAAAAAAAATCGGAAATCGACCGGAGTCAATATGGAAAAATGTAGTATATTAGTGTTTTCTGCAGACAGCTATAAAATCCTGCCACCCGCACACCACCATTCTGAAACTGCCAATTAAATTTCGACCGAAAATTCCCTGGATTGAAAGCACTAGAAAAACAGGTATTTGAATTCCCTCGCAAACGGTACTGCAGCGTACTAAAACGTATCAAGTCGTACAAAACAATACTGTACGGTAGTATGCCTTAGCGCACCGTAGCATACAGTACTAGGTTGTACTACAACGTGCTAGGCTGTACCGCGTCGTACTGCTGGTATTGGCCAGTGTGAGACCGTAAGGTAGCGTACTAAACCTTACGACACCCTAAAATGTTGGTCTACACGGTACTACAATGCACCAAACCGCACTACAAGATACTAAGCAGTACTATACCGTTTTTGCACCCTTATGAATCATACTACGCCTACTACACCGTACCACGCCGTCTTGCACTGTAATACCGCGACCGCACCGTACTACGCCGTAATATTGCGTCCTACGCCGTACTGAAACGTAAGGAACCGTAGTAAACACTCATGTGGCCTATTGTGATGCTCCCTCGTAGTGATCTACCCTGGTTGCAGGGCCGTAACAAACCCAAATTTCGGGGGGGGGGGGCGACCCCAAAAATTTTTCGCTAATATGACCAAAACTACAGCGCCGCAGGCAAAATTTTTGAAACATAGGGTTTATAACACTAAAACTAGTGTTAAAAATAGACAAAAACAGCGCCGCAGGCAAAAAAATTTTTGGAAAAATTAAATCATAAGGGTCCCCCCTTATGAACTTTTCGGCCTTCGGCCGATTTCGGGGGGGGGGCGGCTCGCCCCCCTCGCCCCCCCCCCCCTCTTACGGGCCTGCCTGGTTGGGTAATTGCGTGCAAACAAGATCCTACTACAAAAAAAAGGCGCGGAATTAATTTTTGAAAAGCCACAGCTTCGAGCGCCTCAAATCCCTAGGCTATAGCCATATAGCCGTTTTCACCCGTATTTACCCTCTCTGCCTCGTCGGCCTCTTTGGCAATGTGCCAAAGCACACCATATCTCCCGAAATCAGAGTCACGAATTCAATTAAAGTCCGCAATAAAAGGGGCCTAACCCCTCCGAATAGACGCCAAGCCACGCTCGAAATCGGAGCATGTGAGGGTGGGGGCGAAAGTCTCGAGATACCCCGAAAACCACAGGGCCAATATAAGGCGATGAAGCTGTCGAAAAAGGGAGGGATCAAATCACCGGAAATAGCATTAATGAAATGTTTTATGCTGGAAGACGCGTGTCTGTCTGGATGGTTCCCACGCCGAAAAAGGTGAGATTCTTGAATGGCTGAGGGTTGGTAAATGGAAACCCATCAACGCCCGAAAAAATGATCATTTTGGGTTTGAATTTCCGGTTTTCCGGGGTCGTTCAATTCAGCGAATAAAAGACAGCAACAAATTTGAACAAAATACTGTAGTTTGCATCTGTTTTTACGGCTTAGCCATCATCTCCATTTTTGCACGAATTTACACTTCAAAATCTAACAAGGAGTCGCTTTTAGGTGCTATTGGAGTTTCTGGACTGGACCTAGCTAGTTCGATAGAGAAAAAAATTCTGAGCAACATCCCGTTTTCAAAAAGTGCTGATCGATAAAGGAATTTTAGAAATTTTGATTTAAAGTTCGCGCTATTTTTCTAGTTTTCGGGTCCATTTCCTCGGATCACG